TTCAAACAAGGGCAGCACAGGAAGAGGAAAACAGGCAAGCATAACAACACTGGAAGAATCAATAGGAAGCAAAGCAAGGCATGTAAAAGGGTGAGCAGCAGTCTGATAAAAAAATATATATATATACAGGTGAGGGATTACTGAGGACAACAATGACAGAAGAACACAGAGGTCATGGGAAAAAATCTAAACAACCACTTTCGTGTCAAATGCCTGATGAAAAGTTGGTCCAACGTTTGACGGTACCGATTTAGCACAGCAAAGTTGTGGGAATAAAACATTTACACTCTTCTGATGGTTTGTGTCTCATAGATACGACGCAATACTGAAGCACACCGGTCTGTGAACATTTTCCTTTCCTGTTGAATCTGCAGAACATAAAGAAATATGTTGTTTTTAGTTTGTAGTAATAGTAATTGGTAGTTATCGTCACAACAAGGACTAAATCCCTCTGATTTTATGACTTGCAACTAGAAAAAGCTACACTCAAGTAGGACATTATTCCCAGATGTAAATTTTAATTTCTATAATGAACCAAATTCTGCCAAAATTTTAATATAACTTCAAATAACTTGACTTTTTGCGACAGCTGAACACTTTCTAAGGACTATTTTGAGTCAGAGTCTGTCCCTGCAGCCAACAGGCAAGAGACGTGGCACACTCCGGACGGGTCGGCCAATCAGTCACTTGGGAAGCACTCTGTTCTTCCAACACTGTTCTTGGATCTGGTTTGAATGAACTCAGAAATCGAAAGTATGGCAATCCCCACGATGTAACATTTAATTACATGTATGTCAGTTGGAAATACCAAAAATATGTCTAATAAATGGAAGAATATTGAAAAGGTGGATGTTTGCAGATTGCTTTTTTTTCAAACTTAAACGTTTGAAGAGAATTGTTACGGCTTCGTAAACTAATTTACGGCTTTTCAGTTCAGTAAATGAACAGCTATAGATGTATTTAAGGGCAACAACTCTTATTCAAACAAATATTCTCAATTAATACTTAATAAAACAGGCCCAGTACTGATATGGGCTGAAAAGCCACTCAGAGAGGAGGGATCCAACGTTCTACCATCAACATAGAAAAACTAAATTACAGTTTGCAAATGCAATTGGTGACAAAGACCGTTTTCATCTGATGAAACTAAAATGTAGGTATGTCGTCACAAAGAACACTTGCTACATTTGGAGGAAAATGGAGGAATCTGCAAACGTCTCATGACATTAACCAAACAGTTTACGGTTGGGGAAAAGGCTAAATGGAGAATGACTAAGCGCCGAGTCACATTATTTACCAAGAAGGTTGAAGATGACAGTCAGTGCTTTGCAGTGGCCATCGGCTCAGCGTCATCTGGTACAGTGATGTACCTTTCTTTGCTACGCAGCAGAACAAACAGTTGGTTCGTTGCAAGTATAAATGGTTTCAGTCTCCCTTCAGCTTTCCCAATGAAAGCAACAAAGCGACTTCTGCTCCTCTGGTTTTCATTTTTTTTGTCGTCATTTCAGAGTTTTTAGAAGTGTTTCTCAAGATACTCACTTGTAAACTTTTGAGTCAGTCATTAAGGGGTTAGTGAATGGCATGAGCTGAAGACGACAGGCTGAAAAGTTCAACAAGTGTTGATCACATCTCAAATTATTTCATTTAGTTAAATGGCTTAATGTATATTCACCATCCACCGGTGTGCAAGATCCCTGCTATCTGCTTCATCCAAATGACTCCTCTCTGCTCACCCATCCTCCTCTCCTTCTCTTTTTCGCCTTTTCCTCTCATTCTGCATCTGTGCTACATTTCAGAATAACTCTGGAGAATAGGCTTTGTCAAATGAAGAAACCCTTTGTTTGCTCTAGTTAAAAATGTTAAGTAAAGCAGACAAGCCCAGAGGGTGAGGAGGGGAGGAGGATTAAGTTGGTATATTGGGACACAGTTGGGACAGGCTGCACTGGAAGGGAGAATTTTATTAGCCAGCAGGAAAATAGATGACAAAAATATCTCCCACCCCCCAAAAAAAGAAATGACAGAATGAGACAAAAAAAAAAAAGATGGGAAGCAAAAAAGCAGCACTGGCAAACAGCACTGTTTAACAGGGCTGCTCAGATCCAAACAGAACTGGCCGGTGATTGGTCGACTGTAGTTAGGTCTTGGCACCGGCCGCGGCGACAGCTGCTTGGAAATGATGAAAACCCCCGAGAAGGGAGAGTGCGACAACAATCCAGAATTACTGTGAAATTCTGTTGTCCCTGTCCATTTTCCCAACGCACCGCAGAATGAAAATCAGGAGACTGGAACGAATCGCCAGCAGGAAGATGAAATAGCTTTAAAACGTCTAAATGATCGCGGCGCAACGCAAATGTAATAATCTGACGCCTGCGACTCGAAGTTTGCCCCTGGGCCTTGTTGTATTTTATGCTTTCATCTTGTTCCGGTGGGACACATCACAAAGACATGCAAAATGAAGCGTTCAGGTTATTAATGCCTCCAATTAAAAAAAAACAAAACAACAACAAAAAACACAAGAAAAAACAATTTGGTAAAAATTTTAATGATCGTATTTATTGATAATCAACTCCGGCTGCGCGAGTCGGTCTTGACAGTGTGGAAACACCAATCAGAGTGATAATTACCCTGCGGTTTGTGCTTAGGGTAAATCTCTCTCTTAACATGCTGAGCTTTATACCCAATGGGGTTCCAGATGGCAGTTTTGCTATTCATTCAAATCACTTTGCCACTAGATTACTACAAATCTATGTAAATACAAGAAGCATGGTCCAAAACCAAAAAAAATAAATAACAACTCATCACCACTTTCCACAAAATACTCCAGCAAACAAACACAACACAATCTTTCCCCCCTCCAAGATTTCTAATGATAAGGAGTCTGCCACAGTATTCATGTTCCCTGTTTTTTGTATAAAAAAACATAAGAGTTATTAGAGTCGTAACGTGAGACCAACACAAAAGAGTGGATAACTGGGGGTGTGCAAAGAAAGTCCATGAATCGTTTCACAGATTTCTTGTGGGTAAATGTATTGCATGTACCTATCAAGTTAAAACCTAAGCACTTTGAAATGCCTTTGCTGAAACTGTGCAATATGAATAAAATGACTTTACCTTTACTTTACCTGAACAAAGTAATCAGATCTGCAGGTATTTGGCAGTATGTTTTCACAAGCTTTGTGCATCATCTCTTTTTTAACGAAGCCTGGTTAGAGAAGGTCTGTAGGAAGGCATTTTCCAATTTGTTGCCATTTTTCTGTATTCATTAGATCTGAATTTGGAGTATACCACATGATTATGATTTGACTTTAGTCATTCGGTTGTTTTTTCTGAATGTATGTTTAGCATTAAACCTCTGTCTTGGTCCCAAGTCCCTAACAATCATGCCCTGTACTGAGCTACATCCATCTTCCTAGCAACTTCTGTATCCCCACACTATGATGCTGCCTCCACTTTGCTTAGATGTATGACTATTAAATGACAGAATCAACAGATTTTCCAACTTGAGCTGTGAATCTCTGCATCTCCCCCAGAGTTACCGTGAACTTCTTGGCTTCCTCTCTGATTGATTCTGTCTAGAGCTGCAGAATATAAATCGGAGTCGTCGTTGTAATGTCAGTGTGTATGATATCGACAAATGATTCAGAAACACTATTGGGAAGGACGCTAGGTTTCATACATCCATGTTTGTACATTCTGTATTAACAAACTGTTTGCCCTTTATGCTGTCACACCACATTTTTACATACTTGTAGCTGCAAACAGTGTAAAAATCCAGGTGTCATTTTTGTCACTGTTATTTTGCAGAAGGTCCTGGGTTCAAATCCTGGTCTGCACTCCATTCTTTCTTGTTTGAAGTTTGCATTATTCTGCCTTGTACACATGTGGATTCTCACCGGGTCCTCTGGCTTCCTGCCACAGTCCGAAATCTTACCTGTTGGGTTTGTTTCTTCTTTTTTTTTCATTTTCTACATTTTCTCTTCCTGTTGGCCCTGCATGCTGGAGCTCTTGCAGGGATCGGTGCATCTGGCTGTCAAATTACTCAGTGGTGAGTAAAGAACAAGTCCAAGAGATGGCAGCAGCAACAGAGATGGCCCAGGATGCCTTATGTTATGGCACAGTGACCAACAGTTGAAGGGCTTGTTAACCATGTCAAAACTGCGTCCTAGTAGATAACTGGAGGAAGTCAAGCAGTGGGGAGAGGCTGGCAGTTTCACAGCACTGCTCTCACATGATGCTGCATGCAATACCTCGTCGAATCAGCCCTGCGATCAGATCTCGTTATGGAGTTGAACTCCGTCCCGAACATCTGCGGGTTTTTACCTCATCTCTTGTTTCTGTGACACTTCAAGTGGCATATGTCTCGTTTTATCCTAAATGTCATATTGTGATTGAGTCCAAGTACGGCAGATGTGTGAGATTGATGAGGCTAAAGGTACGTACCACCACACAGAAGGTGATTCATTAGGAGGCGAAACAAGGGAGAAGCCTGGTTTACTCGTCCTGCTTGCGCCAACGCAAACTCACCCACACGCCACGAGAAGAAGCCTTGCCCTTCGTGCTTCGAGCCAGCAGATTCGGTGACACGAGGGTTCTTGAAAGCTCTTTAGGAGCTTCGGGTGCGAGGTTGTCCTGAGGGTGGAAAAAAAAACAAAACATCATCGCCAGCTGGGTGGCAACAAAGAGGCAAAGGAAATCACACTGCTCATGAGACTGCTCAAGTTTTGTGAGGTGAAACTGAAAGACAGGCGTCTCTGTCCTCTACAGACACATCTGCATTGGACAGCTTGACGCATTTCTCGCTTTAGATGTTATGGCTGACAGGTTGACACGTAAAGAGGCTTCAGTTAATAAAACATGCTTCATTTGCTGATGGAGTACGACGCAGGAGCGGGTAGTCTTGCTTTAAGACGTGTGATCCGACTCCCCCTCTTTCTCTCCGTGCCTCTCTCTTTCTCTCTTCCCAGCTGGGCTACAGTGTAACACACACGCATGCACGCTCACTCACACTCGCCCCGCTCTGCCTGCCCGCCCGACACAGACGCTCCACTTACAGCGTCGGAGGCAGGACTGAGGCTCACACTATCAGCTCAGCTTCTCAATGGGGGGACGTGGCCAAAAGCAGACAGAGCGGTCATTCCACCGGAGCCTTCCGCCGAGTTCGTGAGAGAAAGAGAGAGAGAGAGAAGGACAGAGGGGCGGGGGGCGGGGGGGTAACGGCGAGCGAGGGCAGGCGGCGGATGGGGGCAAATTAGGACCCCCTTTCATCTCAGCAGAGGAGTTTCGAAAGACTCTGAAAGAGAGAAGAGCAGCATCTCTGTGGCCGATAGAGCCGTGAGTCTCTCACACACCTTGGTCAGTTTTTGACACCTATTGTCCTCCCACCTGGGTGGCGTTTTTGGGGGACTCGTGTTAGGGTTTTTTTCTGCTTGTTTTTTTTTTTTTTTTTCAAAGAAAAATCACAGCAGCAGAAGTCCAGAGTGATTTTTTTTCCCCATTTATTTTTTTTTGGGGTTTTACCTGCAGGTGGAATTCATGAAGAGACGATGGAATTAAGACGGACAGGCTGTGATTCTGACTAAGCTCCTTTTCTCCATCTGAACGCGCTGCTCAGGTAAGGAAGGGTGTGGGACATTCCTCTGGTGTCAGACGACGGGAGTTTGATGTAGAAGAATGTCTGATGGGGGAGAAAATGAAAACTATCTGGGTTGATTGAACATCTGAAATGGCTTTGCGACGTCTTCTGCATCCAGACTTTCTGGTGGCAGACGATGCCCGCTGGATGAGAAGTACCATTGATTAGAAAGCATCTACAGTCTGACTGATTGTCTCTGTTTTGGAACGATTGGGGTTGGCTGATGGCTGAAGTTGTTTCTGAAGTGTGTCGGAGGGAGAATCTCTCCTGTTTCTTTAGAGATGTTGGAGCAGGTGCATCGGTGCCTGCAGGTGTGCCTCACGTTTCCACCCTCGCCCTCCGTCTGCTTTTACTTTCTCTCTCCCCCACCCCAACCCTTCAGAGCTGGACTCCTGCATTTCTGAGTGTCTCATCTGAGGTTGCACCACAAAAGTGAGAGGGAGCCCCTGTTAGCGGTGTGCGTCTGCAGAAAGCGTGGGCTGCGTGCTTCTGGAAACGGCCTTTTTTGTTTGCATTGAAAGACCTTGTAAATAGTCCCCCGTTCTTTTTTTGTGCGTTTGTTTCACTTCGACTGTGCTGCGCTTTCAGCTCAGGAGATAAGCTGCAGTTATCAACTACATTTCCCCCCCACCCCCCTCTTCCAAAAAAAGCCTCCCCAGATTACTGTAGATCTGCGGCTCTACGTAATATGCAGCCGATACAATTAACTGTGCAAGCGCAGCGAATTTTTTTTTTTTTCCCCCAACAATACATCTTGTAAACCTTTTGACTCAGTGAGAAAAACGTGTGTGGTTGGAGAAGAGTAAAGGAGGACTCATCCTCGTTCTAAAACCCCCTCCAGCTGGTGATACATAATGTTATTAAGGATTTATACTCTCATTTTTCTTTGTTTATTAAGCAGCCATGATCTCACAAAGGGTAATCCTTGATTAGGCTAATGCTTTTGACCTGAGCTGCATATCACAGCATGAGAAACACAAGACATCTATCTTTAAATAATGCATTGAATCAAATATTTGCTCTCGCTTTACTTACTTTCAAAGTTAAATGGCTAATGGCTACATGCTTTATTTTAATGCACTTGCATTTAGTATTAATTATGAATTCAGAATCACAGTAAAGTGCTTAGATCATAGAACCACTAACTTGCAGCAAGCTTGGTTAAAAGCTTTGGTGCGTCCCTATGAAATGGACATTGTTAACACATGTAAAAATAATCACATGCTCCCTAGTTGGGGGGGGGGGGGAAAGCATTTGCAGATAGGTGGAAAAATATTGCTTTACAGAAGGTGGAGTTATGACAACAACAACTTCCCCGCTTCGGATTTCTGGATGGAAATGAGAGCTAACACCACCTGGAAAGGAGGGAATGTGATTATTCAGGCAGGAATGAGGCGTGTCTACATATGCCGCCCCTCAACAGAGAATAAATCTCTTAATATGACCAAGAGTGCTGTCTGTGATTAGCAATGATTAATTTCAGCTTCAATTTATAAACACAGATGGCCGAATTATGACTAAGATTACATTTTTCTCAAATGTCTGATATTCGGTGTATGTAGTTTTTATTTTTTTTAATTTAATTGATCCTTTTTAATTTTTATTTTAAAAGAAATGAAGAAAATGATACAGAAAGACAATCGGTGTTGGTTCTTAGGTGAAGTTGGGTTTGCTGCTTTAACTCTATGTTCAGCACAGTCTAACAAAGTTTTTTAAAGATATAATAATGGTCCCCAATCAGTCATTTTATACGGCGAAGCACTGATTCATCAGATCAGCCAGTTTCCCTTTGATTAATCAGTGATTGATAGATCAGATTTTTTTCCCCTTTCGTATTTAATACAAATTCAATAAAGGTCAAAACATGACTTGATCCATAAGTTCTGTCTCAGTATTGCCTTGTTTATGTCGGATTCAACACGACTATCTCCATCAGAGAATCTGGCGAAAACGCTTCCACTTTTATGCGTTGTTTAAAAAAAATAAAAAATCTGACCTGAGCAAAATCAGAAATTGGCGTTGGCCAGGAAAATCCTGATCCGTTCATGTCATAATACAATTTATGTTTGGCAAAATTATGTTTTTTTGTTGCTCTTTATATATCATTGCACATAGAGTTGAGTAAATCACTCTCTTAAACATATAGCTATGTTTTCATCTGTGTCTCTCCTTTGTTTTTCCGTCCTGAGTAAAGATGATATCCATATTAAATGTTCACACATGCTTGTCTAACAGAGCTCTGTTTCTTCATGCTGCTCTCCAGACTCGGCCTTACCATGTCCTGGTTGTTGGCCATGTGGATTAGCCTCGGCTTCCTGCTGCTGTGCCAGGCCACACTCTACCAGACCATCCAGCAGCACCACGTGGCCCGACCCGGTCGCACCGACATCCTCACTCTGGGTTCGTTCACAAGCTCTTATTTTTCTTTTTTTTTCTTTTTCATTGTCTGACTAACTTCCCAGCCCGGTGTTAACAACATGCAAGACGTTGCTCTCGCTGGGTTGGCTCCTCTCAGCTCTGGCTGTTTGAAAGACGAGAACAAGGCCTGCCGCAGCGTGTCACAGCGACTCGCTGCGTCAACGCCACGAGATGATTCACGGCGCTTGAAGGTTTAGCGGATAAGCGGAGGTTGGGGACCGCTAATTGTGCCTTTGGTTCCAAAGTGACTCGACTTTTGCAGTTGGGAGGAAACACAGTTAACAAGGTTGGGGCTCGTTCTGCGAGCTGTCCGCCGCTGTTTGGATCTTAACATGCGAGTGCTGCTAGAACATCTTCTCAGATTGGGAATCGGGAGATGACTCACTTATGTGGCGAGGAATTCCCGACTCGTGCAGACTAATAGGAGCAGCTAAAGCTATGGGCAACAATCCATATTACTATATTGGTAGCTGGGGGAGTTTGATCACATTTGCTTAGGCTGAAATGACAATTATGTTTTCCTCCTTTTGCACTGGAAATGCTCGGCAATTAAGCCTGATGCCTTCTGCACCGCGAAGGCCAAAGTGGAGGGTAGGAATGGAGGCGGATCCAATTCTCCGATTATGGAAAAGCTCACTAGAATTACATATGGTATATGTGGGAGTGCTACAAGGAAGCAAAGCTTTTTTTTTTCTAGAGCAAAGCAAATGCTTTCCTTAAGCTCCTGACAATGAATGTTACTTCCACGCTTGAACCCTCATGCAGAGTGGGGCTCTTTTCCATGCCAAGCTGCTGTTAAGCATTGATGCCGTTTCCTGCTTAGTTCTTTCTGTGTCTTGCACTGCCAAGTAAAAAAAAAAAAAAGAAGCGGTAATTGAAGCAGAGCAATAGGAAGACAGAAAAAAAAGACACTGCTCTGAATTCTCTATGCTTGTGAACATTGGTGACTTTAAGCAGCCTGTCAGAGAATTGGCTTACTTTTAGTGTGGAACAGCTGACACATGAAAATCCTTGCTCTGATGGATAAAAAAAAAAGTTTTCAAAGTATTCCTGCCCCATTAATTGAAGCAAAAAGAAAAGAAAAAAAAGAAGGGGGATAGGGATGAACAGCACAGAGTTTTTAATACATTTTTTAAAGGGTGACTTCCATTTTATTTGATTTTTTTTCTTCTTTTTTGTCCGGCTGACAAGTCAAGCTTGGTGCCAAAGATGTATAAGGAAGTGCAGGGCTCAGTAAGTGTTGTTTTTGAATAATGCAGTTGACCCAAAGGGGAGGAAAAGGAAAAAAATAATAAAATACTTGCTGCCCCCTCCATCTCCCTTCCGCTTCTTGTGGTTATACGTCTAGAAAAGTCACGCAAGTAAAAGACAGCGGGGGCCAACAGTTCAGGAAGGTTTACTGTCAGACAGATCAACTCACATACTTGACGTCCATTACACTCCTGGGCAAAGACGTATACACGCTCGCACACTTACGTGCTCTCTTCTCGCGGAGGCCTTTACGAGGTGGCATTTTCACGGGTCCTCTGAGGATACGCGAGCCGTTATTGATGACCTAATGGGTTCACTGAGATGAGCTCTCTTTCTACGGTTGGGCATCAAGCAGAGATGCGCTGAGCAGAATTTTGGGGCTGATTTCTATTTCAGATGAGAGGATACAATAAGAAATTTCAGCAGTGACTTCCTGCTCTTCCTGCCATTAGCGGCCATTTAATATTTATATTATTATTTCATGAGGTACCGTCTCTCTTGTCATGTGCGTAGGAGACGAATCACTCACAATGTAAACACAGGGTTGGAATCTGAAGTCTTTTGCGTCTTATGTTGCGATTAGCACGATTAGCGCAGGTAGCTGTTAGCATCCGTCTCTGTGTATCTCAACCTGGGGAGCCAGCGCCCTCTACTGGGGCTCCTGGAAAGCTCAAGGGGGATCCCAGGTTTCATTACCAAAGTCACTGACTTCATGTTTCATATTTACATAAAAAAAAAATAACCCAGTGAGATGATGAAAAGGTAAAATGTCACTTCAACAGCGTCGTACTCTGCTTCTACACATGCGTCTTGCCGTTATGTGTCTAGGAAATGAGGATAGAATGGAAGCCAGGTGGAAACTGTGGTGGCCTGATTTTCTGTTTTATTTTACATTCTCTGCAGCCTTTCTTCACAATACTTTCTAAAGCTAGTTACAGCATTTACCGTCAAGCGTTGGGGACAGTCTGGGCTGAAAAGAAAACAAGGAAACAAACATTTATTTGTCTCTCACCACAGGTTGTCACTGTGATTTGGGGAGAAAAGTAATTGTTTTTCATGACATGTCATAAATATAAAAGAACAGGGTGTTATATGAACAGCAAATACTTATCAGTGTTTCATTATTTCTGTTCGGATGCACTTATGCACAAACATGAGTGCTCACATAAACATGTACTGTGGATGCTGGTGTGTGTGTGTGTGTGTGTGGCTCTTGACACCCTTTACTGAGGCTCTTGATGATTTTGGCCATCAGTGATTTAGAAATAGGATGGTTTTGCAGTTCTTCTTGTTTTTGTGTCATGTATATGGACAGGATTTACACAACAGACTCATGCCAATGTTTTTCTGAGATTACTCCTCATGATATAGAAAATTAAGTTACTCAAAGAGTCATTTATGTCTTGCGGCTGTGGGCAAATTTTTCTCAGTGCATGTGACGATATCAATGCCTCCTTGAATTGAAAAGGCTGCTGATCCCAGGATTTCTAAATGTAGGTTAACTCTGAGATCTGTCTGAAAGCTACCAATGTTTCCAAATCCAACAGGAAGTTCAGTGTAAATTCACTCATCTGGCTTCAGAAAATTTGGAGTCAAATTTCCTGTTGAATTTGGCTTCAAGTCAACATGACTTAAAGGGTGACTTCCATTTTATTTGATTTTTTTTCTTCTTTTAAAGAAGAAAAGATTTTAAAGATTCATGTTGGTATGAATCATTGTCCTGTGGCAGACAACTTCTGTTTTTGGGCCCAAAACATTTAAAAAAACATACAGATTGACTAGATGGTTGATGTTTTAAACTATCTTTAGCATCTTACAGTTAGGGCCAGAAATATTTGGACAGTAACACAATATTTGTGAGTTGGGCTCTGCATGCCACCGCATTGGATTTGAAATGAAACCTCTACAACAGAATTCAAGTGCAGATTGTAACGTTTAATTTAAAGGGTTGAACAAAAATATCTGATAGAAATGTAGGAATTGTACACATTTGTTTACAAACACTCCACATTTTAGGAGCTCAAAAGTAATTGGACATATAAACATAACCCAAACAAAAAAGTTTTTTCTCAATATTTTGTTGCGAATCCTTTGGAGGCAATCACTGCCTTAAGTCTGGAACCCATGGACATCACCAAACGCTGGGTTTCCTCCTTCTTAATGCTTTACCAGGCCTTTACAGCCGCAGCCTTCAGGTCTTGCTTGTTAGTGGGTCTTTCCGTCTGAAGTCTGGATTTGAGCAAGTGAAATGCATGCTCAATTGGGTTAAGATCTGGTGATTGACTTGGCCATTGCAGAATATTCCACCTTTTTGCTCTCATGAACTCCTGGGTAGCTTTGGCTGTATGCTTGGGGTCATTATCCATCTGTACTGTGAAGCGCCGTCCGATCAACTTTGCAGCATTTGGCTGAATCTGGGCTGACAGTATATCCCGGTACACTTCAGAATTCATCCGGCTACTCTTGTCTGCTGTTATGTCATCAATAAACACAAGTGACCCAGTGCCATTGAAAGCCATGCATGCCCATGCCATCACGTTGCCTCCACCATGTTTTACAGAGGATGTGGTGTGCCTTGGATCATGTGCCGTTCCCTTTCTTCTCCAAACTTTTTTTTCCCATCATTCTGGTACAGGTTGATCTTTGTCTCATCTGTCCATAGAATACTTTTCCAGAACTGGGCTGGCTTCTTGAGGTGTTTTGGGGCAAATTTAACTCTGGCCTGTCTATTTTTGGAATTGATGAATGGTTTGCATCTACATGTGAACCCTTTGTATTTGCTTTCATGGAGTCTTCTCTTTACTGTTGACTTAGAGACAGATACACCTACTTCTCTGAGAGTGTCCTGGACCTCAGTTGATGTTGTGAACTGGTTCTTCTTCACCAAAGAAAGTATGCGGCGATCATCCACCACTGTTGTCTTCCGTGGACGCCCAGGCCTTTTTGAGTTCCCAAGCTCACCAGTCAATTCCTTTTTTCTCAGAATGTACCAGACTGTTGATTTTGCTACTCCAAGCATGTCTGCTATCTCTCTGATGGATTTTTTCCTTTTTTTCAGCCTCAGGATGTTCTGCTTCACCTCAATTGAGAGCTCCTTTGACCGCATGTTGTCTGGTCACAGCAACAGCTTCCAAATGCAAAACCACACACCTGGAAACAACCCCAGACCTTTTAACTACTTACTTGATTACAGGTTAACGAGGGAAAGGCCTTTTGAGTTACTTGCAGCCTTTGGAGTCCATTGTCCAATTATTTTTGGTCCCTTGAAAAAGAGGAGGCTCTGCATTACAGAGCTATGATTCCTAAACCCTTTCTCCGATTTGGATGTGGAAACTCTCATATTGCAGCTGGGAGTGTGCACTTTCAGCCCATATTATATATAAATTGTATTTCTGAACATATTTTTGTCAACAGCTAAAATAACAAAACCTGTGTCACTGTCCAAATATTTCTGGCCCTAACTGTATGCTAGAGATTAGCGTGTGACCAACCTTATAAAAACAGCTATCTGCAGTAGATCTTTACATTCAATCTGAGACTGCTTGTTTTCAACTCCACTTTTCTTCCGACTTACGTTTTAGACACTGAAATCACTGAAACTGGAAAAAGCCATTGTTGACTCACTCAATACTAATGTCTGCACTGCAGAGTGTTGCAATCGCTGTGAGCTGGCAGAGCTCACACAAGCCGCCTTCGTTCATCAGATAATGATCAGATGTGGATATTCCAGC